TTGGTATTAACTCATGTTAGCGGCGAGTAGCTTATGCGGAATATTGTTTGGTACAATCACAAGTTTTGTAAACAAACTGCGACATTCATGAAAAGCTAGCGGAAATCGGTTTACAAGTAGTTCGGTTTGTTTCACTTGAATAATTAAGAATTCCAAAGTGCTTAAGATATTTTCGCTTCACAATTGTAAGTATGGCAGAGCGTGGTGTAGTTTTATAAAACGGGAAATAAAAAAAAATAGTGCTTAACATCGAAGCGTTGTTAAAAAGCTTTCGCAGAAATAATCGAGCGTCCCGAGCTCGGTAATTATAAATAAGCGATTAAAGTTCCGGCCATCCAACAACTTTTAACAACTGCCGATTCAGTCAGACCGCTGCTGCAGATCGTCGTCAATAACGAAATTATGATGAGAGAGAGAGAGAGAGAGAAAAAAATATGAAAAAACAACAACCCCCAATTCGAGTTTTAATTGCGCGCGATCACAATCGAGAGGACCACGAATCGAGGCGCTCCGCGGATCATTCCTGCGACGATGATCTAAATAATTCGTTCGAACTCGCCCGAACTAGTTCGGTCCGGTGGAAACCGGCCGCGGCTGCGGGGTGCAACTTTAATCCTTATAAATTTCCCTTTTTACACAAAGCAATATAAGTAATTAGCATAATTTCGTTGAGTAAATGAAATATGCTAATGAGGGGTGGCTCCAACCCCATCTTGGGGGTGGAATTTAGGGAAGGCGGGGGAGGCTTGCCTTAGTCGCATCCTCATTGATACTTGTCACCGTTCGATCTGGAGATGTTCACAATTAAGTTAACAGCCGGGCTGAGAGCCATTTTGTTTTGATTCAAAACTTCCCTGAATAACTTAGCAAAAGTATAAGTGTGATTTTATACTGATTTTATACCCCGTACATAAAAAGCGTTTAAATACAACTAGCCTAGAATAAATCAGTTAACACTCGATAAAGTTGGCATTTGCTTATTGTATATACGCCTGCAAATGAACATTTGAAAATCCTTACTGTAGGAGAACATTATTCTGAGTTGTATGGGTGCTTTACATACAAAATTTTCACGCAAACAAATATCCAGATTCCAACAATTATCTGCGGATCACACAAATAGCTGTCCCGTGTGGGAATCGAACCCACAACCGCCGGCAACCAAGTCAATACCTTCGCAACTGTGTGGAGTAATCAGTTCGATTCGATAACTTCATTGCCAACAAAATACACCTTTGAAAAAAAAGTACTCCATTGAAGATGGTCAAACCCAACATAGTCCTATTTTAGAAAAATTACATTTTGATTTGTGCTGAACAAAATTTTTATAAAAGCACTTCATCTCTAAAAGATAGATTCCGAATATACGTGCAATGGTGGGTATAAGTTTTCAATATTAATTAGTCGGCACGAACATCCCGCCGAAACATTCGGCACCCCACGTGCTCGAAGCGGACGCGTTGCATGTAATTCAGAAAAAACCTCATTCAATAGAGCTCCAATTAAAATCGGAGTGCTAATAAAATCCGGAAGGAATCGAACCGGCGAGCGGCCGCTCCACTACGTGAAATGCCTCCGCGATAAAAGGTCTTCGAAAACACAATGCCGCCGCTACCCCGGCGGCAGACCGGGACGGGCTTATCCAAGACCGCGCTGGTGCGAGAGGAACGGCGGCCAATTGGAATTAATTAATTATAATTAAGTTTTAAGTTGACGCGCCGGTTACGGGTAAGCGTAGACTTTTGGCCGCGGCTGTGTGCGTGCGTTGGTGGCGTGCGTGCGCGCGTGTGCGCGCTAGTGTCTAATATCGATTCCCAACTATGGCTAGAGATAATGAGATGGGTAGGGTGGATTGGAACAAGTTTTTGAGGTCGCAGTTTCGAGGCCCTACCCGGCAGGAACCGGGCCGGCATTGCGCCCTTAATTATGTAAAGACGGCGTTATTGCGTTGTGTTGCAGATACACTGCGACGTCTGTTCTTCAAGCTCGTTATATAACGTATTCCGAGAGTATAAATCAGTTACTCCGATGTGATTTGTATCAGTATACAGATACAAAATTGGGGAAAATCAATGTTCTGTTACTGTATTTACAGTCGAATAAGAGAATATAAAAATTAAAAACAATCGGAAAAAGTAACATTATTTAATTAATTTTGACGGGATAGTATATAAAACAGATATTTGTTTAATTTTTTCTAATTTACAACATCTCTTTTTTATTCAAATCCCGACAAAATGAATTAAATATAGACCTTACGAGTTTTTTGTGCTACTAACATATATAGTAACATTAAACGATAAAAATAAGCAGGGCCTTTGTACAATATTTTCCAGTACATTTATTCGTATATACACTGTGTACATAGTATAATACTTTTTCGCACTGGCCGAAATTAGGAAGAATAATAACGAAAAAAGAAACATGCGCTCGAAAAAGGATGTGCGTAAAGTGCATTTAAATTGGCTTATCCAAGCTTTCCTTGCTCAACACCTGCCAGTCTGTAGTTCCAGACGACAAAGATCGGCATACGTGTGGGGGTACGAATTAGGAGCGGCCGACCTCCTCTATAACAACAGGGGGGGCCCCCCCGAGGCCCGCTATCGATTTTGGATGAGGAACTGGACTAGAGACATGCAAGGCTTAATATCAATTCGAGATAACCTTTTGCGTTAAACACTGCTCCGTCTTTCACGTTGTTTCATGTCGTACACAATAACTACGCGTATAAATACAACAAAGAAATTTTAATTTTAATATTGTACAACTAGACCGTGAAAGAATCAGAGTTGCAAGTCAATTATTGCGTAGAGAAATGTATTTCGGACAAAACGTCTGAAAAACCGTAAGCCGTTTGACGCGAAGCGGAATATGAAAACACGAAGTAGGGGAGAATTCGCGCCAAAATAAAGAAAATGGCGCTCCAAGTGGCGCCAGAGGCGTCTAACATTCGCGCCGAAAGTGAATTAAAAATAAAAAAAAAACCCGCACGAAAAGTGCGGAGAGGGAAATGCAAAAGGATTCCGACGGAGGGCTCGAGGAAAGGGCCGTGCAATTAACCTTCGGTATTCATAATTATTTTTTAAATAAAGATTAGTTTTGTTTTCTAACAACTTGTTTAGGACTCCCGTGAAATGGTGTGTTCAAAAAAAGAACAACATGATTTGAAAAGTTTAAATCAAATGTTACGATGATTATAACACTCGGAACTATTACATTCGCGTTGGATTTATTATAATAAATACCTGGAGGAGGTTTGTTTTTTTTTTTTTGGTAAATCGTGTATTTTGGTAATTACATTTAGATACAAATTACTGAGTAATGAAATATGCATAATATTTTTCGATCTTACCGACATAATAATAAGATAATATAAACTGGTGTTTTTCACAAAAGAAAGAACTTTAAAAAAAGGGAAAAAAAAACAAAATCATCTGGATGGACAAAAAATAAAAAATAAAGAAAGCAATGATCTGTAATCGAAAAAAAAGTTAAAGATATAAGTGTGTAAATGATAATGACTATCATAACATTTTTTTTGCGGCGAAATTTACGATATATATATATATATATATATATACGAGAATTGCTCGTTTAAAGGATAAGATTACATTAATTAAATGTTGACTACGGCCAATATGAACGCACTTCGAAATGTTGATTATTCAATGAAATAGAACACTGTCTTTATCTTTTTTCAGTTTATCACAGTATGACAATAAAAATTATAATATTTCACTTTAATTATACAATAGTAATACGACTGTCTGTTTCGTCACTTACCATCAACCACGTGGTTAACTTCTAAGTCCGTGTTAAATATATCAAACATCGATCAAGGCTAGGGTGCCACCGGAACGGGCCCGCAAAGCACATATTTGTTCGCGCCCGGCGTTTTTGTCGTCGAACCTTTTCTTAGGGCTGTTCCAACGATCGCATCGCTTTTCTGTACAATGTCTTTTATTGTTTTCATATTGAAAAAGTAGAGTTATGTTACATTTAACGTTTATAACATTAAACATGAAGTAATAATCTTTGTGCCAATACGATATCTGACGTTAGGTATACTATGGACGTAAAAATAATAATAAACATTGAAATTGCATATGTTCCATTCCATATAACACTAGTGATCATTTATTTCTTATCCGAGTTTAAATTCTAGAGATCGATTTTGTGTGATGTACCTACAAAAATTTTGATTTAAAATAATTGAGATTGGAGTACCTACATCAAAGGGAAATCGGAAATTTTATATGCATAACGTCTTTAGTTTAGCCCGATGATGAAAATTGAATAAAAATATTTTCTATTTCATTAAATAGCATTCTAAGGCCTCTTACTACAAAACTAAAACCAATCGTTAATTATAAAATGAACACAATATGTTATCGCGACACGAATTATTAATATTTTTGAACAACAACAAAGAACCGTTACGATAACGTTTAACGACACGACAAACGCGCTTTTGATTTTCAAGAGAGCGATAACTAAATCGTAGTTCAACTCCAAAGCGTTATCGCGACAACCTAATCGCCGTTCGCGCATTAAACGGCGTTTTAAAAGCGGTCGCAAATCTCTAATGAGCGCGGCGCTAATAAAATCGACCTCCATTAAAAAGCTCAAATGCGACGATTGGAGTCAACGAGCCAGTTCTCGCTGCACCTAGGGCTGTAAACTAAACAAAACGAGTTTATCCGCCTTAAAACGCATAACGGGCGAACCGCAGCCCTAGCGGAGGCAATGAAAAGTCGGTTAAGCTAATGTTATCGAGAAATAAAAATGTATAATAAAATACAAACAGCGCCGCGCGCGAGGAAACAATTTGCCGCGGGAGACTGGAAGATTTCGTGGTCCGCACCGCCGGTGCCGCCAAACGAAAAGCCACTCTAACACGCCAGCACACGTTCCTTAATCGCCCGCCGCGGTCGAGTAGAAAATTCCTTGAATTTCCAGCGATCGTGCTGAACAGCGCGATCCTTATAACCATACCGTTAAGGTTTATTTTGCTTTGGCGGTTTGTGCCGGCAATTGAGGAAGAAAAGAGAGTTTTCCGGCTCGTCGGGGCGTCGTGACATTTGTGTTAAGCGGGACGAGGAAGCGCCATTCATAAAGGCGCGCGGTGCAAGGTGCTCGGCTGAAAGCAAACTTGTCGGATGTGCGGGGGCTTTTCGACGTTGCGAGGCGCGCTATATTGTTTTAAACGGACTTTTCCGAGCCCCGTACGCTCTTAGCACAATTGCACGCATTAGCCCGTCTACCTCCGACTGCGTTCTGAAGCAGTATGAATTCTCTTCACGTAGTGAACCATCTATGTGTTTGACGTCTGCTTCTTGATTGTAGTAACACAAAAGGAACGGAACTCGTATTAAGGACATGAATTTAACACGGTCACACCATCTTAAAAGTTAGAACCTCTGATTCTATTAGAAAATGTTGTCTATAGAACTTCCCGACACGTGCCCCCGCGCGTGGGAACGAACGCGCGGGGCAAGGGGAAGCGAAGAATTCGAATGTGGAACGCGATCGTCTTTTTTCCAACGCCGAAAGCGCCAAGGGCCCACGGCGCCACCTGTTGAGCGGTGCACGTGACTTTTTTGCTCCAAGGACGCTCGCCTCCTTCGCTCATTCATGGGCGGCCCCCGCTCCTTGGGGGGGGCGGGGATTTTTTGCTCCCCTACGTGGGCCCCCGGGGGCCTTCACCTACGTGCGTTTTCGAGGTCACGGCGCCCGCCGCTGCGACGTTTTGTTGCTCCGCTGCGCCGCGCCGCAACTTTGTTTAGGTTTGCGGGCCGTATCGATAACATTCATCCCTTACGATAACATTCTACGATTAGTTGAGAGATAGCTGAATGGAATATCTCCCTGATTGTCTACTAGGTTGCTAGAATTTCGTACGCGAACATAATCCGTCGAACTACAGCTCATATTTTTTTCAATTCAATTAAATATAAAAATATTTAGTACGTGAACAAAGTAATGACGTAAGGTTTTGTAGTAAAGTACAATAGTATTTATCCATTTGTTAGTTTTCCCGCTATTTCTTACCGCCTGATCTCCTTTACTTTTCTAACAAAACCGTTATGAAGAAAACATCAATAGTCTGAGTTCCTCAGGCACTAAGCTGTTAATTAGTTTGTCTAATTACTTTAGTTGTTTTAGAGTTGATACAAATAAAATATGAACTTTTGTAATATGGCTACAGATGGTACAAAACAGCTCGTTAAGCTACCATATCACATTTAATTACGTATTGCATTTAAAGGACATTATGTGATGCAGACGCATACTTAATTCTGAATACTTACCGGTTGATGCACGCAATACAGTTTTTTGGCACACGATTTTTAATGGACTGCTTAAGTTATTAGCATAAAAAAGTGCTTTGCCCATCGTCCGTGATTAATGTTAATGTTTTTACTTTAAAGAAATATTGATTAATCGATTTACGAAAGGCATTTCCAACAAAAACTGACTTTGACTCTACATATTGTACAAATACTTTCGTCATTTTAACATGTATTTATTGAAGTTTGCTTAAACTGTGCTAGCTTTTCTTGCTTAAATAACAATTTTATTACATTTTATATCATGCAATTGAATTTTAAAATTTATTCGGAATCCACAAAAAGATTAGGAATTAAAAAACGACAACATGAAATAGGTTTAATACTTTGATTGCAAAATGATAGTGAATTATTGAAAAACTTTCTTACTAGGTACTTAACACAAATAAAACATGTTTATTTCTTTTGGTTTTTTTTTCATCATTCGATTATGCGATTCGCCTGAGACGTCATAAACATTAACCTCCTTTATTATTGAGACAGTGTTTAATTTGTCATACTGTTATACATGTCCAATGTACTCGATTAGTATTTTTCATTTTCCGTACCACCAAACTGAATGTTGACCCAAAGGCATCACTATCGATCATAAAGTCGGGCGCAATCGATAACCCCAGGCGAGTTCTTTCGCGCGTCGGTACCTCACTACCATCGGACTTAACCGGATTCTAATTAAACCCTGTCCCTGATAGTGCACCGTGGAGCTGTAGACTGCGTAATTTACATTAATCCAATAATTGCATGGAGGTTTCCTAGTTAGAAATTCAAATGAGGTGATGTACAGTAAGAGGGGCGGGCGGCGTGGGGGGCGGGGGGGGGGGGGGGGGTCTGTACGGTCTTTAGGGAGATGCGCCAGACGCGAGGAAGCGGTGCGGTTAACACGCCACGATTATCCGATCAACATGGTGCCGCCCGTTTTTAATTCGCTCTTTTTGCAATTCGACGCGCCCGGTTATAAACAATGGATGTTGATTCTGTTATTCGTCCCGTCGGCCGGGGATGCCCCCTGTCGACGCTTCTCGAGTTTTGATCGTCCGTTAGGATTTCACGAAGTCCGTGTTATTGATAGTATATCGTGCTATTTTTTGCATTCTTGCAACTGAAAGTTGAAAGCTTTTTTAAACTATATTTAATTATTGCAAAGAAGTAATGTGAGAACAGTTTACCAATTCAGAATATTCAAGCATTTTACATTGTAAGAAGTATTTATTACCTTTGATAGGTAAGGGTGAATGCTCTTTAAAGTCCCTTTAAGTCGTTGTAGAGAGCTGTGGTCAAGATGATTGTTTGAAAGTACACCATTCAAAAGCTAATTTTGCGTTTCGCCTTTCCGCAGTCTTCTTGAGCGGGATGGCAACACCGGGGGTGACGTCACCGACTACGAACGTTTCTTTAAGTACACGTAGAACAATAGAACGGAGTTGGCTCCACTGTTTCGTCTGCGTCGACGGATGGGGTTTGATTAATTAAATTGTTATGGTAATGAGCGCTGGGGATTTTTGGCGTGTACGAGCTAGTTATGAAGGCTTATCATTAAACCTACTTTAACGCACCGTATTAGATCCAAGCAATTAGAAGGTGGCGTGTTCTAGAACGTATTTCGAACGATTCCGTTTTAAAAAGTCAACATGACACTTTCTCCGTGATGTTTTATTTTTAATAGGCTGTAAAATGAAATATTTGCGCCAGACCGTGATGATTTAGGTTAAAAATAAACGAAAAGTAAATTCCGGAAGTTAGACGTAATGCAATCGCGATACTCTAACAGAGTAGAATTCGAGACACATAAAATATACAATAAAGTTCAAGAATTATTTCATTAAAAGCTATTTATATGAAATAATGGCTTCATCTTTATATATATAATTCTACTGTACTTGTGTTTGTCACTGAACTCCTCCTAAACGGCTGGACCGATTTTAATGAGATTCACAATTCTGTCTACTACAATGTTTTTTTTAATGTTTTGTTTCTAATTTGTCGAATTTAAGTCGTGTGTACAGGACGTCTGTTCGGTCCGCTAGTATTATAAATAAAAACTGACTACATTCAAACGCAATATCAGATGCCCATAATATGGTTTTCTTTTCAATCTATAATATTATTTAAATATATGTTTTGTGTAAAAAATAAAATAAAATGAAATAAATTAAAACAGGCAACGCTTTTCTGTCAACTGCTTAGCAGCTGACCTAAACGGGCGATGTCTCCATCGGGCGGTCGAGAGACACGAGCGCGATTTAATAAGCAAAACATGTCAAAGTGAATTGTGTCCCTATTAAAATTTATACGGTGAGCGTTCCGTGATTGACCGTCTAACCGAAAGGCAAGGAGACGCCAACGAGGGGGGGGGGGGGGGGGGGGCGTCGACGCCTTAGTAATTTCCGAAATCGCTTGTCGACAATCAGAATAGTGCTGCGCCAGCTACGGGCCCAATCCGAATAATTAGATCTCGATCTGCATCTAATTGGGGCGTAGTTTATTTCGACTTGAGGCGGATCGCAGATGCAGATTACGTCCCTATCTATATTTCTCGTTAGTCAGCCTGTATTTTGAGTGGAAAAGGAAAACATTCCAATTTTAAATCGTCGTATTATTTATTTTTTTTACAAAAATTTGGAAACAAATCTTTTGCTTCAAACGGTACAATGATTTTGTGTAAATACATAGTTTCGATCACAGTTATCGCGAGTGAATATTACGAAATAATTTTCTACTCGCAAAAATATACGGCATCAATATGATAGATACTAAAGGAGATTTTATGGAATAGCTGGTAAAGGTAAACGAACAAAAGGCCCTCCTGGTGATCATCGAATCGGTCTGAGAAGTGGATATTACGAAATAATTAACCTAATGGCAAAAAAATAAGGTATCAATTTGAGACCAAAAAAGCTTTAATGGAGCAGCTGGTGATGGTGAATGACCAAGTAGCCCACCTATGTCAAGTAAGCTGTAACAGTGTTGTCATCCTTTTAAGGAAAAAAAAGTCTTTGAAATTCACGTTTGGACAAAAACAATTTTTACAGATTACGGACTAATTTAGAATCCAGAACTGTCGAACCTATTCCGTGTGTACGGTCTCGCGACATCAATCATTTAAACGCTAATCCCATAGTTTATAGATAACCTTCTACCGTCACCTTTATTAAGCTTTCTACGTATTTATTTATTTATTTCGAACACAGGCGAACGTACGCATACTAAACAAGACATGTTACTCTGTTGCCAGATACAGTATGATGGGAGGGGGGGCGGAAAAGATAATGTTGGTGGGAAAGCCTGATTGTCCAAGTCTCAAGTTGCTGGCCCATAGACGCGAGGCCCCAACCCTGCGGCCGAATCAATAGATGGCCCCTACCCGCTCTACGTTCTCGGGATTTTCACGTGAGATACAATCGTCTCGTGTTTACAGTCCACCCTGTAGACTGACTTGTGGCTAGTTAGATTTTCTATTGTAAAGTTGTAATATTCCCTTGAAGATATTAAAAATGAATTAAATAGATATAACATGTGTCGATAAATTTCCTTCTGCATTACCAATTACTTATGTAGAGCCAGTGCTACTTTGAACTCAGACATTAACACCACCGTACGGATCTAGAAAGTTAAAAAAAAAGTGTTTCACTGTACAAACAAACGAAATCGTTTCCTGTTTTGAAAAGTATATTTATACTATAAACTTGCAATGCAATAGCCAATCCGTCAACGGTAAAAACAAAACATCCATTTAGGAAAACATGAAATCGAAGCGAAATATTTTATTGAATAAAAGATCCATACCAGAAGAAATTTATATGGAACCTTTGAATCACAAGTCTTATTCGTGCTCCTTGACATTTTAATATACTCGTTGCTGGATGAGATCTGAAGACGAATCATTCATGATACCTACTTGGGAAGTAATGACAATTAGAAGAACTAATATTGCAAAGTGTCGTTAAAGGGATGTATTGAGCATTAATTGTATTTGTTTTCCAGTCCCTCTGTTCTGTGTACCGGCAGCTTTATTTAAACATCAATTAAGACGTCCGTGCCAGGAGCGAGGTGATACGTAAACGCACGGCGTGACGTCATAATGTCGGGTGATCACGGCTAGATTTACGGGGGGTATAATAAGACGCTCCACTTCGTTAGGAGTTCGTAAAACAGCGCTGCACAGGCGCCCATAAACGTCGGACGAGATTGGCGGCCCTTGCTCGGCGTTAAACGTTCTTTCGTCCGCTAATCGCCCAAACGAAAGGCCCCAAACCGCGGACAGTCCGCAATAACTCCCCAACTCCGAAAGTAATACCATCAACTCCGTGTTAAGTTAATTTGAGTCACTTTAACAAGTCCAATTAAAGGAATTTGTGTTTCTCTTATCTTCAATATAACATTGAGCATAATTTCAAATTATATTTCAAACTTTCCGATAATGAAGGGGGCGGCGGGTGCGGGCGGGGGGGGGGGGGGGGGGTGGCGCGGGGTGCGGCACTTCGCTTATTTCATTAGTTACATAAATTCTCCTATTGAAGATGGCTGGCAGAAAGGGGACGGTTTACCCTTATTACGAGAGTCTCCTTATCAATACAATTATTAATATCATAATATTATTATTGTAATAATTTAGCAGCGGAGTGGAGAGGAGTCGTGGCTTAACTTTGCCAGCAATAAAGGGCGGCGAGAGATAATGGAATGGAAAACAGTTTGAAGTTTTATTGGAAAATTGGTGCCGTCTAATTGGCAGTATTATCGATTCGTTGGCAAGTCGAGGTGCGGTCTGTGTATATGGCACTTTATCTGTACCATTCACTTGATAGTTGGTTCTCATTTCAAGTAGTCGTACAAAAATTCATGACGTCCATATTTGTCCTTAACGGCTGTCGTATAGCACGTAATTGTGTCCAACAAACCTGTTAACTCTGTGTCTAAAGGTATCTTTTTCAGTACGCATACTCTTCATAATTCTTCATTACATTTATCGGTTCGGACACCATTTTAAAGTAGAAAAAGGACCACTAATTAGAATAATTAAGAATGAATGGTAATGGTAATGGCTTCCATTGACCATTTGTTTAAGATTAAACGATATATTATATCGTTACAAATTATATTTGCACACGGTGAGTGGGTACTGTGCGAAAAGATCGCACAAGAATCTCACAGAATCTCACAAGTCTATTAGTAAAATCTTTAATAAAAACACGCATGCCCCACTCGATGAACGATAATTAACAAAGACGTGAGACCAATACAAGTACGTTAGTTGTCCGGGCAACGGCCGATGCGGAGAAACGGGCAAATCTAAACTGGGCCACCGTAATCCATCGCCCAGGGACCCGCAAGTGCGGCCCTAATTCCTAAGGGCCGCGTCTCATTATAACACTAATACAAGACTCATCCCGAAGTTACGGTGAATACATTAAAGGGTTCAATCCTTGCTGATGAGACATCGGCCGGCGGGGGCGCCACCCCGCCGGGGGGGAGGGGGGCGCACGGCCACTCGCCCCGCCGGGGGGAAATAAGGCAGGCATTATAGGAGATACCGTTCATTTACATTGTCCAATAACTCCAAGTAGTGTCCGAGCGAATATTAGTTTACGGCGTGCGCAGACCGCACGATGTATAACTGAATGATGAAACTCGATGCTATGTGTAGTCCGAATCGATGGCGAAACAAACACGAAACATCTCAGCCGATAATCGAATCGATCTAGCCCTAATAAAGAAAGCCAATTTTAATGGCGGACGAAAAATCGAGTCCCTACTGAGCGTTCCTAATAAAAACGTAATAGTAAAGGAACAGGACTAGTTTTGACACAAATAGTTAGGAACATAACGGAACGAGTTGACAGAACAGATTCGAGAAAACTGAAAAAACAAATTCACAATAATTAAGAACAATATTCTATAAATTAAATAAAGAATAATCCGATTACTGGCCTAGTTCGAGATTGGCGAATATGAAAAAAGAAAATAAGCCACCCAGGGCTGGCGCAAATGTCATCACGTCCGTTCCTTTCGAAAGTGGAGTAGTATCTTGCGGTGCCGTGCCGCTGTCGCAGCATGTCAAATGTTTCGGCGTCGGCAACCCTAGCGGGGGCACGACATAAATGCACAGGGAATCAAGACACATATAGGGACGCACACAAGCGCTTAGTCTTCCATCGCACTCGTACAAAGGCTAGGCTTTATTCCGATTCGACTCGGAGATGCACTATCCTAATTATTGAGAGGCCAGAGCAAGACTGGAAACCTATTGTTTAGGAAACGGAATATTATTGTACGGGGGCGTAGATTATTCCGATTTCCGAGTTAAATTATCCAGTAGAAGTTTTGAATTAACAATGGACTTACTTACTTTAGAGGTCATGTAAATTATATGTATCTACTGATAATTTTGTTCACATAGTATTATTGTATGAACAAAGACAAATCCAATATGAAGTTATTAATATTATAGGCACCTTTCGCTTTCATATCGCAATGATGTGTTTACACTGGTTTATCTTTTAAAATTTTAGAAGATATTTAGTAAATCTAGTAATATATTTAGTAATTAGTAATGTTATGTAGGTGTTTCGAATAATTCAAAAATATTTTTTCTTAATGACATTGAAACTGTGGAAGAAGTATGATTTACGTTAATTGCCAATTTAAAGTTCGAGCCTTTTATTTTTGTATAACGAGAAATCGATTCATTTAAATGTAAAAAAAAAAACATTCAAACGGCGAAATTAAGTACAGCTTGTTTTCAAAACCCACATTGTGGAAAAAAATATGTTTTATTGTTGGTTTTGCGTTTCTGTGCATTGCTGCTGAGCATTGCTACATTCACATGACCCAGGACACAATCGTCCACGGACGTAATGTCGTAAAAAGCGACCGGAGCTGAAATATCTGACGTGCATACCTTCGATCATAATTCCGCTGCCGCCTAAGCATAAATTCATTCATGGCCGCACGCACGCATCGTACCGTCAAATAAACTGGCAGTTTAATCAAAGCCATTAGACAAGTGAGCCAAACACCTCCGGCCAGCGTTGTCTGGCCCGTGGATCTTCTCAAAGCGACCCCCCTCCGGTCGCGAATAACCGCGCGCGGGGGCGGGTGGACGGGCCTATCTGAACTGGTGCAGACTGTAGCTGATGCCTTTAACGCCTTGCTGGCTGTTGACCAACGCCAGGAGGCGGGAGGCCATGCGTTCTTAATAAAGATGGCGGAAACAACATGGCCGTTTTGGCGGTAGAAATTTGGAAGGAAAATGTAGCACTGGCCGAATGTAACATCAATTTTGATCAAGCCGAGCTCGGCTTTAATCCATACGTGAATTAATTGTCTTTGACGTCCGAATCTTTAGAGCATGTACAAGTAAATAATAAAGGTACATTCGAATACGTTGTTTGAGATGAAATTAAATAGACGTTTAGTCAAATGTTTAGTGTTTTTCCCTTATTTCAGTTTTAATATTTCACTATAAGGGAGCTTCATTTTTAACATCGTTCTAGCCAAATGCTTAGAATAATGTTTGTTTTTTCAGGAATATCTAAGTTAAAAATTTACATAAAAACGTACATCATAAAATTAATGAATAAATTACGTCTCGTACACAAAAATTCTTATAACGAATGAACATTTTTTGTAACGATATGGGATTAAATCATGACTCTGTCGCAGATCCATACGGCCAAGGATCCCTGCTACTTTCTTGTTAACCCGCACGTAATCAATATAACGGTATCGTTCTGCAGATGCATAGCAGCACTGCAGTGTTCGTAAGGCCAAAGTTGGTAGGTCGTCGTCGACCGCGGCGGCATACATCAAGTCGGACGTTCCCGCGCACTTTGTCAGGGTCGCCATATTGTTTTAAACGACGGCCGGACGCGCCGTATAATTTCACCAAATCTGTGAACGCGGCGTTGTCATTCATGGAAGGAACTTCGTAAATCATGTTGTCTTAATGGGGAAAAATAAATCCTTTAGTTTTATACTTCCCTAGTACTATTTTTAAAATTTTATATATTAAATAATGTATAATAAATAAATTTAACAAAATATAGGACTAACGAACAAAAAGTTCATCACAATAATGTTAGAATAAATTTCGCTATTAAAGAGACATCACGTCTATTCTTGTGCTCCTTTTTAGCTCTCCCTTACTCCTAGCGTCGTAGATAGTGAATATGTTTCTTGTGCTAGAGAGTGGGTGAGACTATTGGAAAAAAATTGTGTGATGAGTTTATGCTATTATTGTTTTTCTAGTGTCTGGGTGTTTATATGTCTATAATATGTATTTATTTATAAAAACAAAGTATATATAAGTGTGTTTATGATTTACTTAGTTATCCATAGTGCGAGCTTTGCTTAGTTTAGGACTTTTTCCTATCCTATTTTTAAACAACGCTAAGGATAGCTCTCTGAAATATTTATTTAGTTAATATTTATCTGAACACCTATTTTGAGGTAGACCTTGAAATTTACATTAAAGAAATGTCCAAATTGGCGACTACTTAAAGTTAAGTATAGTTAAGTGCTGCATAACATTGACAGTTATTTCAGTCTACTTCGTTATCTTTCATTGAAACAAAGTGTCAATAAACGGTATCATTATACATTCCTTATACGAAGTTTTTAAACGAAAGTGTTTTAATGAGAACATTAACTTTATTCTAGTTGTCTATATTTCTTACTCACTTTCGTCAATAGCTGCATAAATTTAATGATTCAAACGTCATTCTTGATTCAAACATCACTAGTTTGATGAAGAGTTATAGAAATTATGGTACAGAGGAATAGAGATATACACAGGTATTTTTCGTACGTACGTACACATCACGGGCGGAGGCGGGCGCGGCGGGTCACCCCTATACGTTACGCCGACCGATACAAGTAATAATGAGAGGCCAACGTACATAACTCATCTGCGGCGCCCCCCTAATTTATTCAGGAGAGAGTAATCTTATTACATTTACATATTAATCAACGGATTTTAATTATCCCCCCCCGCCCTAGCTAGCGGCGGTTCGATAATTTGTTTCGGTAATGCGACTTGCGCTGATTGAAGTCGCTATACGAATGTTGTATTTTAGTAGTGGTAATAGTTTTCCCGTAAACGTCGCCTGGATATTCGTCGCCCGGTTTTGTTGGTGTAAACGACTTACGCGGAGGCGTGCTGTGAGACGGTTTACCTGTAAACAAAATATGCTTGGTGTTATTTATAATGCTGCAAACGAGTTTTGTAAAGGTTTGTACTTTTTTGGCACTTCTTTCACTAGTCTATTTTCATTAAAATTTTTGCTTCTTCTGTGAACTTTTGACAAATATATAAATCCGCGAGTATCACAAAAGTGGTAAATCCTGAACGGAATTTAATATACTCTATTGCATGTTTTGATTTCATCTTTAAGTTGAGATTAAGGTGTTGAGATTGAGTTTGAGTGAGAAAAGTTTTCCCAACATTGCTTATACTATGGAACTTATAAAAAAATGTAATGAATAAAATTTTACAATATAAATAAGACATCCTGACAGATTGAGTGTATAATAATTAAATTAATGACAGAACTAATTTTAGTATATCTATGTATTTAATTCGCTCTGATACAGAAACAAATTACGCAAAAACGCAACTGGCAACATTAAGAAACAGCGTTCGGCACTTAACCGTCGCTCAGCTCTTTTTCAAATTAATTTCGATGACTCCGTGGCGCAGTTGCCGAGTATTGGCTTTGGCGTCGGGGTTAGTGGGTTCGATTCCCAAACGGGACAACTATTTGTGTTACCAACAGATAGTTGTGGGTCCACATGAAATTTATGTTTGTAAAACGCCCTTACTACACGGGATTGTGTAATCCTAAAGTAGCAGCAACGGCTGCATCGCCACTTACCATCAGGTGGCAGTCAAGCGTGGGCAGGTTTAAATACAAAAAATATATAAAAAAGAAGAATAAAAAATTGCTGCTCGTCGTCATCGGCATCGGAGATTAGTACATGGGCACAATCAGCCGGGCCATTAGCCGCATCGGGGACCGCAGAGGAGCGCGCTGGGCGGAGCGGCGCCGTAAAGCATCGGCTACCGGCGCCTCGGGGCACCGGTTAATAAGTGTGTTAATACTCGGCCCGCGCTAATTTCCGAACGCTCGAATTCCATTTTCAAACGATTCGGTTCTGGAATGATCCGGAACATCGCTATATAACATGCGTGCTTACAGATAGCTTCTTTGTTGGCTATGTGGCCAGTTCTTTGATAAAGAAAATAAAAGCCTACGTAATTCATTATTATTAAAAGGCAATTTCGAACTGCGATCCCACGCTTATTTCATGCTAAGTTTGATTTTCTTTTCTTTGATCCAAAAACTATGAAATCTGGCCTAAAGAAAATTATTGTTCTTAACGCCACAGTAATTATTTATTTAAGAACGCTCAATTTAAAACTTCGGGACATATTATTAATTTTTTTTACAGGAACTTACTTACTCATTTCGGAATGCACAAATTCCATTTACGTAACTCTCCGGATTGTTCGACCAAAATCCTTGAATCGATACCAGCGCACAAACATATCGTTTAAAATTTATTATTTTGATAATGATAAATAAAAAATGTCAGTATCCATCACTGAATGCACAAAAACTAAAACTTTTGATATGATGACAATGTCGTATTTTATCCTAAATTCTTGTTATCCGACAAAACACAATTTCTTTACAACTTTATTTTGAAAACAAAGTTACAAAGATGAAAACTAGGGAGTTTTAATCCTCAATACTACAAAAGTCGTAAATAAAGGACAGGCGTGGCACGACAGTCCTTCGCGCGAAAAGGTTACTGGTGATGTTCATTTAAAAGATACCAGTCGTGTTTCGTAATAAACTAACTGTTATTATAATTAAATAGCGAAATGACTTTTCCATTATAGTTGCTTTAACTCGCACTGCGACATTGTATGCGGTCACAATACAATTTCTAGACCGGAATGGACCCCCTTTGATGTGATCTTAAACTAACTGAATTCCCGAACAAGTCCCGCAGTTCAAGCGCTAAGCTGTTACAGCAAACGACAAATTGGACAGAACCAGCATTAAAACATTTAATTACTTGGTTATTACGTCTTTGCAAACGTTGTTCATTCGGATGTCAGGTTGAAACAGATGTTATATCAGGCAATGCATATTTGTTATAGAACTCAATCGTATATTCTATTTGCGGGAAGTCTCGAAAGCATTACCCTCCAAATGCATTACCAGATAGGCGTCATTCGAAAATCAAATTTGTGAGTGTAATGCATGTATTAAAAAAACTTAATCCCCAAATGTGTATAGGTAATTAAAAATATACATATTATCCGACGAAAAAGAACTATGAATGAAGAAACATTCTAGAAAGACATCGTTCGAAAATCAAATTTTAATTGTAAGAAATAACACGGAAGTGAAGTTCCTAAACTGCTTTATCCTTATTGTGTTTATGTGCTTGGCACATTATAATTTAGATACGAAAAAAATGTTTTTTAAATTAAATTTCTTTTTCTTAATCCGCGCATCAATTGTGCCAGCGTTGTCCTCCGATAACAATGCATAATGCGAAATAACAGGCGGAATGACTCCGCACTGTCGTCGCGTTACGGCCCAAGGCATTAAAGCATGCACAGTTAAATTCGGCGAATCACTCCTCCGCTGCCGCTGCCGGGCCCTTATTAAACTGACATCGTCGGAAGATAAACGCGCATCGCAAATTAATTAATTAAATCGCATTTATAAGTGCGGCCCTGATAAGAGATGGGGTGGCGGCGAAAAGAGTTAAATGCTTTTGGGTGCTTGATTGGACGCGGCCGTATTTTTTGTTCGATGTTCGAGTTTGCTTCTTCTTGTTAATCGTTGGTCGGGTTTCGCTTAGCGTGTTAGGTGTAAGCGAACATTATTAGGTAAGTATTTAGGGTGTATTGAAATAGCATAAACATCGATTTCCCGCTCTATGCTCTATCGTTAAACAGAGCTCTGCAGTTGTGTAGCTAAGATAGAGCGCAATCGTCACGTTTTTGATGTCTTTTTTGCAGATTCCTAATCGATTTTGCCGCGGATCTGCGATGAAAGGTAGCTAACTGGTTTTCATCGTTCCGTTCCCTCGCTTTCTGATATATTTGCTTTTTTTGAAACTCTTACATCTAACGCCGTGATATTTATTCCATACAAAGACAAAAAGGAAAGTTAACTTTTTGAGTAGCTGTTGCTTTTCTCACTGTTATTATTGAAATTATAAGTATTCTGAACATATTTTTTGGTAAACAAATGTATTTTCTTTCTTATTTTTCTGTCTCATAATAAGAATAATGGTCTAATTCACAAATCTTGAATTTAAGTGGCTTCTTAAGCGAATCGTTAACGGCCAGCATCCACGCTCTGTGCGAAACTAATTCCGGAGTCGTTACGTCTCTATACTTAGCTCGGCAATAAATCTCATTATCTCTAGATAATTTCACTGTTTCCACGCACCGGAGTCGTCCAATAAATATAATGAAAGTCGCGGAGTTAATTAAATAAAATGCGAGCGTACCGCCGAGGCACGCGATCTGCGATGGAGCATTTTGCATATTGATTAGAATCGGCGATCCAGCCGAACGCGCCTTGCGTAACGCGCTTGCGCAATCATTGGACTATTGCATATTGCGGCGAATGCAACGAAACGAAAATATTTAAAAACAAAAATAATGAATAAGAGTCCGACCTATTATTAATCTACTAGCTGTTATCCGCGGCTTCACCCGCGCGGCCCAATTGATTAGGAATCTGCAAAAAAGGCTTTTTATTATACACTACTTAGTTGACATTACCTGTATTTTGGACAATTCACACAATATCTTT